AGATCCGCCTGCCTCTGCCTCCCGAGTGCTGGGATTAAAGGCGTGCACCACCACCGCCCGGCTGTTTTTGTTTTTTGTTTTAGTGTTTTTCTGATGTTAGCGTTATTTTTTCCTGGTGAGGGACTCCTGATAAATAAAATGGGTTATACAGCAAGGAGGGATCCTAGGTTTCTAATGTAGACTTTCTCTGGGAGAAGCAAAGCCTGGCCCAGAGTTCTGGGCCACCTGTCCTTTCAGTAACTCATGCCTCTTGTTTTTCTCCAGGTGAAATTGCTCAGATAATGGAGCAAAGTGACCTCTCTGTGAAAGACACTGCTGTGGATACTTTGTAAGTGGCATCTTTGTAAGTTGGGAGGGGCCTCTGGTGAGCTTAGCAGGCCCCAGGGCTGCCCTGATGAGATCATGTGAGTACTGAGACTGGTTCCTGCAGCCTTACCAACCTGGCCTTTGAAACAGATTCAGGCAGGATCCTGGACTGGGACACTATTCTCTAGTACTGCCAGGGGATTTGGGAGTTTACTGTATCCTTCAGGAAGAAAGGCAATCATAGAAGCTATGTGGAGCAGAGCCACACATCTAACACTGTGGCTCCCTCTGGTCTCCTTGCACCAAGAACACAGCTGCTGGGTTTCTGTTTCCCATGGTGACCCTGATGCCAGCTAGGACTGGCTTTTGCTGCATCCTTGGGTCCCATACAAAGTATAATGCAAAGACCAAGTGAACAACCTTTGGCCTGGGTGCTACATTTGTGCCCTCTTTTATGGGAGGTGAGATGGAAGTTTGTAGAATTACAACAGCTGGAGTACCTGCTGCTGGAGCCTACCTGATGACCCAGGGTGACCAAGGGTCCTCATTTCTGGCCTGGACATGCTTAAGTCACCACACCACTGTCCTGCCCTGAATGCATATGTAGCTGCACAAAGAAGCAAATGAGTGAACCCAGTGACATAGCCCCACTTGCAGTCTTGGGCTAGATGTGAGATGACATTTCATGTTGATCATTAGACCTTATTAAGAATATGCTTTTGGAGTCATTTGGAGATGACTTGGTGGGTTAAGAGCATTTACTGCTCTTTCAGAGGATCCAGGTTTGGTTCTTAGCACCCACATGGTGGCTCCCCAAAGTTTAAATACCTTTAGTGGCTCCCTGGATCCTGTTCCTATAAAAACTGAGTTAGTATTTTGTCTTAGTCAGGGTTTCTATTGCTGTAATGAAATACCATGACCAAAAAGCAAGTTGGGGAGGAAGGGGTTTATTTGGCTTACACTTCCACTGAAGGAGGTCAGGACAGGAACTCAAACAGGGCAGGATCCTGGAGGCAGGAGCTGATGCAGAGGCATGCAGGAGTGCTGCTTACTAGCTTGCTTCCCCGGGCTTGTTCAGCTTGCTTTCTTATAGAACCCATGACCACCAACCCTCCCCGTTGGGCCCTCCCTGTTGATCACTAATTGAGAAAATGCCTTACAGCTGGAGGCATTTCCTGAACAGATGCTTCTTCCTCTCTGATTACTCTAGCTTGCATGTCAAGTTGACACAGAAAAGTACATACTTGCTGCCTCTTTCTCAGCACTAATGATTTTATCCTATCTGTTTGAGGTTTGGAGATGTGAAGGAGGTGGCAGTATGGCGTCACGATGGAGTGAGCTCGGATGGGCATCTGGCCCACGTCTTCAGACATGCAGCCAAAGAATTGTTTGGCGAGCACGTAGAGGAGATCACCTACCGTGCACTAAGGTTTGAGCCAGCATATCTACAGCTGTGTACCCAGGAGTGGTGCTGCGAGATCAGCCAGAGCCAGGGTGTGCTGTCTGTGCCTGTATGCAGCATGTGCAGTGTGCCTGATGGGTGTGGTGTGCATGGCTGTTCTCCCCGTGGCTGCTCTGAGAGCAAAGCCAGCACTGGACAGAAGGGCCTTTTGTGTGTCCCCCATTGAAATTATCTTGATAACATTCAAAACTTAAATTGAAAAATGGGCAGATATGGTAAACGTAGCACTGGGGAGACTGAGGGAAAACTGAGTTCAAGGTCACCCTGGTCCACATAGTAAGACTGTACCTCAAACAAACAGAAATGATCTTTAAGTCACTGACCATTAAAATCCATTTTATTGATTTATAGAAACAAAGACTTCCATGAGGTTACCCTTGAGAAGAATGGGGAGGTTTTACTGCGCTTTGCTGCAGCATATGGCTTTCGCAATATCCAGAACATGATCCTGAAACTCAAGAAGGGCAAATTCCCGTATCACTTCGTGGAGGTCCTCGCATGTCCCAGAGGTAAGGGGTGCAGAAGGCCCACTAATAGCCACTAATGCAGGGCATGTTGCTTCCTCATGCCATGAAGGTTCCCTTCCCTCAATTGTAGTGTGAAAAGTGGAAAGTTGTATCCTTAGACATTCCCTTGTAAGTGCCATATGGGAGCCCCACGTGGTACCAGATGGGAACCAGCTCCTAAGGTCACTAACATGGAGTTGGTGCACAGGGACTGTGAGGAGAAGCGGATCCTGTGGAGAGTGGCAGTAGGAAGGAACAGATGGTACTTGCTCTCTAAGAGGTCCCCCTGCTGCAAAGGGAAATTAACTATCCAGGTGTAAAGACCCAGGCAGGTGGAGAGAAATGAGAGCAGGCCAGAGCTAAGATAAGTTGTAGTGCCTGGAATCTCTTGCTGAGAGAAGGTATAGGTATTGGGGAATGAGGGGAGCCTCCGATCTGAAGTGGTCTGGGTGTGAAGGAGCTGTCTCAAGACCAGGAATGCCCAGGTCACCCTGAGTTTGGGGTGATAAAAGGTACTCAAGTAGGAACACTAGAGTTCTCAGAAAGGCCCAGAGGGAGCCAGGCAAGGTGTACCATCAGAAATGAAGAAAGGATCCGTAAAGAGTGAGACAAAGGAGAGGCCTATATTTCTAGTCCGTGTCCTACAGGATCTTCTAGAGGAGGGAAGCTGCCAGTGGCCAGCATTTGAGAGGGGGATGAGAGCAGGGGCAGCTACTTTTCCCATTGGAACCCTGTGCTACAGTGAGCAGAGACAAGATGGCTGGTGGGTGGAGCCTCTGGGAGGGCCCATCTTGCTTTCTGGGGAAAACTGTGCATAGGCCTGGAAAGGAGAGGAAGTGGGTGCATGCCCACTGAAAAAGTGGACATCAAAAGTCCAGCTGTTATGTGGCTTGGATCAGTGGAGAGTGAAGTTTAACCAGGTAGGAATTTGTTCCTGTTTTTCCCCATTGGTGCTGCAGTCTGAACCCAAAGCATTGTATACAGTAGGTAAGTGCTTTCATATAGCTTTCCACTGAGCTATATATTCCCAGCCTATCTCCTGGTTCTTTTAATTGAAAGTCTTGATTCTAGGAGTGGAACTTGAGCCTTCTAGACATACACTCTACCTCCAAGCTATTGTACTTAATGCATTTTGGGGTGTGTGTGTGTGTGTGTGTGTGAGAGAGAGAGAGAGAGAGAGAGAGAGAGAGAGAGAGAGAGAGAGAG